TTCGTCATCTGTATCAGCCGCTGCTCTACTGTTGTCGCCTATCCGCTTTTCTTTTGTTCCTTCCCTGGGTTAAGGGCTGCCTAATAAAAAGAGGATGAATAAGGGGATCCATAGGAAGTACATAATCAGTGTCCAAGAGTGGCACCCTCGTCTGCTTGCACATTTATGTCACTAGCCCAGTTAGGAAGAAAGCTTTCTTGTTCCCTCTGTTGAAAATCTTCCACTCGGATATGATCTTTTCCCCCACATTCAGCCCAATCCCCGGCACAACACAAACAACTACTACATCCCGAAGAAAGGTCACATCGGTGCGGTTGCCCAACGGGCGGATCCTCCTAGATACGAGGTACATCCATCTATTGGCATCCGTTGACCACTGAGTACTAGTGATTCCCTCTGTGGTAGCCCAGTAAACCCGATCCCAATGCGCTGCCTCAAGTAGTGTGTCCCGCAGCCAACCCAAATCCATCTCCCTCAGTCTGGTCTAGTACTTTATGTTGGAAACCTCCGGCACCTCTAGCACCTCATTGATGAACTGAGTACTCATATGGATGTCGACTCCTTGAATGTAGATGGTAGGGTGAGGATCGTCCCAACGGACAGTAGGGAGTAGGACATAGAACTCCCTCACCCATCCAGAGCGCGCGGTAGGGGGAGTCTCAGAGTAGCCTTCATCTGGGACAAACTTCTGGACGCGATCATGGCACCCATTGCCCCATAACCTCATTTTAACAAAATTTTCATCAGATTAATGTTTCTAGAGTACCCTAGTACCTTAATCTGCAAAGATTCTAGAAATTAAAAACCCTAAATTATGCCCAAATTCAAGTTTTACACCAAGAAACTATTCAACTTCCCCCACCCATTTTGGAACCATTTCGACCATATTATCGCGAAATCCTTAAGCTCAGAACATTGTGGAGACATTGCGAATGTAAGGAAAGTGTTCATGATACGTTTTTCTAATTCAATCAAGCAACCCATGTAAAAATTATTGAGAACTACCCTAAATCCTTTTTACTCAACCGATTCTTTTCATGCAATTGTTGTTAAGCAGGTAATGAAGTAATCAGAGTAAGGAGCAAGAGCATTACCTTCAGATTGATGTTCGGAGCGAAGTAATTAAGAGAGTTTTTAGAGTTTTGGGAGAGAGTATGGGAGGAAATGGGGAAACCATTCCCCTTTCCCATTCTAAAGTGATCCCGAACTCCCCGCCACGGTGGGAGGGTCCCCGTCACAGCGGCTCCGCCTCAGCGGGAACCCTGCCACTCTGGCGGGGTCATGCATGGCAAATGGGTGCGTCTCTTTTCCTCCGTGCATTGCCTTGTTTTCGTAGTCGGTTCCATGGGTAAGGATCCTTCTATGCCTGTTGCTCCCCAATATACATGCAAATGTACGTGGTCGCTCAAGTAATAATATTATAAACAAGGCCTATTTTTCAAACATTGTATTCACTCTCACAAATTAAGTTCTTACTTCTTTTAACATGCCATAAGCTTTCCCATAATGTATTTTCACTTTCACATCATATTTCTCAAGGAATCAAGAGGACTTCTATTTGGTTGTAATATCGGTTTGGGGTAAAGGAGGGAATATTTAGGACGCATTTTAGTGACTACACCTCCCTAATGCACATGTCATTGCTTTGCCAACAACCACCATACTTAGCTTTTATATTTCCCTAGTACACACTTCATGAATATTTTCCCTTTTTGTTGCTCAAGCTTCGCCATTTATTCTTTCTATTCCCTTTATATATATATATATATATATATATAACTTTACACAAGCCAGCCTCAACTCAAGGCTTTAAGGTTCGAGTGAGGTACACAATATCCTTGGTAGGACCAGGTCCAATGTTTTAAGAATACCTCAGAAATAGCAACCCTCAACTTAGTTGAGGTGCACATTGTCTACTAAGGACCAGGGCCAAAACAAAGTTTTTTTTCTACACATTTAGTTTCCACACATCATAGCATTTCCACCCTTTTTCCATTTCTACCAACTTTTTCTACCATTATTCTTAACATAGTGCATTAAGGATTTCATTGGGATCAAATACTTTCGTTTCAATAGAAAGGCTTTCTGCTTATTCTTGTGGCTTAAAAAACTAAGCTAAAGGCTCAGTGGGGCTTAACTAGGGATATTTCAATTCTACGCATACAATAGAGTAAAAAATTAGCTTTTTCAAAGAAATGCCTCAATCAGATTCCTAAGTCATACAAGTTACTCATTCAACACACACAAGGCAGGTTTGACATATCAATTAAAGCAATAACCAAATAATCACTCACCACATATGGCATCACGACACACTAAAGGACTCATCACACTAGCATGCTCATAAAACTTGCATTACTTTATTACAACTCAATTAAGCCCACTCAGATTCATTCAGAGTTAAAACAAAGAACACATGCTTTTTTCAATGTTACTATTCTTTTGCATTTTCCAATTGTGACTACCCATGATGTTTGGCTAACTTTTTCAAACATAGTTTCAACATACCAAGGTTGGTTTCTCAGTCCTACTCCTCTATGTGACTAATTTTCCCTTAAGACGGTCATCACCCATCTATCATCGAGAACTTTCACTCCTAAGATGACTGTAAGACTCAATAAAAAAGTAAAACTAGTCCTAATTGGTTCAAAGGGACTATCCTCAGGAAAAGTAACAAAAACAAAAGTTGAGGAACCCAAAATAAAAAATAAACATAAAATAAAACTCGATAAAGAAATAAAAGTTATATACATGAGAGAGTTATCTCCCACCCCAAAGTATAGAGTTTAAGATACTCCCTCAGGCCTCTAGGCCTTATCGTTATCATCACAACCTCCATCGAACACCATCAAAGCATTGAGATCCTCATTAATAACATCCTCCTCATCATCATCATCTATTTTTTCATCTGTGGTGGCCTCGTAATCATCTAGAGGCTGCTGAAATGCCGGACCAGTCCAGCAAAGGTAGGCTGCACTCTCTGTCAATGGGTAGCGCTCCGCCAAGGTTTCCATCTCATCATCATTGACCGAGCAACCCCCGATCCTTACATGCAACTCCTCCATACCAAACATGCGAGCCATAACATTATCATCTCTCACCTACCGCTCTTGAGACGATAAGACAGGTTTGTGGGACGTGTCGAGCGCCTTGGTTCGAGTGACATCTACCATATTGCATATCAAGTGGGGTGCCCTAGAAACATTCATATCCAACTCCTCCTTCTTAATACCGCCCGCCCTCAGAAACCGGGTGATCAACCCCCCATAACAAAATCGCCACCTCATGTTATTCCTAAACTTCATCATGTTTTGCCTTAACACCGCCCTAACATTAACAGGCATACCCTTCATCAGCATATAGACTAACACAACCCTATCTCTCGTCAAATCTGAAAGATGCTTTACCGATAGAAATACACTACACACAAACTTCACCCAATCTCTCGCAACTTGGTAAAAATTTTCATAGTGGAGAGTGGAATGCCTCCCTCTGTCCTTACTTCTATCCCACCTAGCAGTAGACTCTACCCCACACAACGTGTGACAAATATCTCTATAAGGGGGCTTTCCTTATGCCTATTAAAATCCTCAGTGTCACAATTAGGAGTGCCCAAAACCAAATTCAATGCCTTAGAAGTAAAGCGTACCTCCTTCCCCGGAATTGGAACAGTCTTATTAAATCAAGTTTCTATGTTCCCATTGACATAAAAAATCCCTCACTAAACTCAAGTTAAAAACACCCTAATCGTCAAACAGAAACTGCAACCGAAGAGCATTCACAATAATATAAATCACCGAAAATTTGGATTGTAACCTTACCTCATTCACGAACTCGTCACCAAGGTATTTTACCTCTTTTTGGCTTTCAAACTATTCATGCCCATACCGCTCCACAATTTTCTTTCTGAATTTTTGGAACGGAAACCAGCTACTTGAAAACCTAACAGCCTTTCCCTTTTGATTACATTCTGAACCCGCTCCTCCTTCCACATTTTTGTTTTTGGGTGCCATTAGTATCAACATAGAAGAAGAAAAAGTGAAAAAAATTGAAGAAAAAGAGGGGGGGTCGGCTAGCAATGTGGGTGGGAGAAAGAAGAGGAGAAAAAAATTTAGAAAGAGAAGAGAGTTGGAGAAAGTATAATGGTGGAATGTGTGGGTTTTAATGGGGAAATAGAAGGTGAAAGGACAATGAAAGAGCAGAGTTGATAGGAAGAAGAAGAAGAGTTGAAAGAGAATTTAGAGGGGTGGGTCAGTTGAGAGATATAGAAGGTGGGGGGGATGAAAGAGTTTTTAGGGATTTAAGAGGGTTGGGTCGGGTTTTACCCATTTAGGCAAAACCTGCACTAGGGCACGATGGAGGTGCGATGCGCCAGCAGTGCGCCCGCCCGTGTGCTCTGTAGTTCAAGTCCTGGCGCGCCGTCCCAGAAGTACGCCCACCTGATATTTTATTAATATTTTTATTTCCAAATTTTTGGCTACTACAAACTAAGTTACAAGTGATTGAAATTCTAACTAGCTAAAACTAAAAATAAAAATACTTTCTACATCCTAGAAATTAAACTATACTAAAACAAAAAAAATATCAAAATTTAAACAAACTACATATCTATTACATATTGTTCACAGGTTGCCTCGCGTGGAGCACCTGGTTTAACATCGCGGCTTGACTCAACTTGGATCATTCATCATTAAACTCAAGAGCCTCCCGATCACGATCCGCATCTTTATAAAAGTAGTACTTAACTCTTTTCCCGTTCAACAAGAATGTTGGGCGATGTTCACCTTTGAGTTGAACGACACCATGTTGTGTCATCCTTACCACTTCGAAGGGACCACTCCATTTGGACCTCAGTTTTCTGGGGAATAACCTTAGTCTTGAGTAAAAAGTAGTACATTTTCTCCTGGAGTGAAAGTGCGAGGAACTATCTTCTTGTCATGCCACGTTTTCGTCTTTTCTTTGTAAAACTTGGCATTCTCAAACGCATGGAGCCTAAACTCCTAAAGTTCATGTAATTGATCCACTCTCTTCCTACCGGCCATCTTGAGGTCAAGATTCAACTTCTTTATTGCCCAATATGCTTGGTGTTCTAACTCTACCGGAAGATAACATGTTTTGCCGAACACTATGTGATAGACAGAAGTCCATATGTGTGTCTTATATGCAGTTCTATATGCCCACAATGCATCATCCAGCTTCACTGACCAATCCTTTCTTTGTGCATTCACCGTTTTTTGGAAAATGTGTTTCACCTCTCTATTCGAAACTTCCACTTGCCCACTTGTTTGAGGATGGTAAGTTGTAGAAACCTTATGATGAATACCATACTTAGCAAGAAGATTTTTCACTAGATGGTTAATGAAATGCTTACCTCCATCACTTATGATTTCCCTTGGAGTGACAAAATGAGTGAAAATGTTCTTCTTGATGAACTTAATGACAACTCTTAAATCATTCGATGGAAGATCGACCACCTCAACCCATTTAGACACATAATCAACAGTCACAAGGATATATTGGTTTCCATTGGATGGCGGGAAGGGAACCATTAAGTCAATACCCCACACATAAAAAAATCCCACCGTAAGAATGTTACTTAGTGGCATCTCATGTCTTCTCGATATAGTACCCAACCTTTGGCATTTATCACATCCCTCACATAAGCAATATAATCTATAAATAAAGTGGGCCAAAAGAAACCAGATTGTAGTACCTTATGCGCCGTGCACTCTCCTCCATGGTGACCTCCATATGGGCTAGCATGACAACTTTTGAGTACTTTCTTTACCTCATACTCTGGAATGCATCTTCTTACCACCCGATCCACACCTTGCTTGAATAAGAATAGTTCATCCGAGATATAGAACATAGCAACATGAGTTAGCTTTTTCTTTTGTTGGGTGGTTGCATCCGGACGGTACTCTCCACTTACTATCAGATTCACTATGTTCACATACCCAAGCATTTGGGAGATATCTAATGCCATCAACTGTTCATCCATAAAATCTTCTCGAATTTGTTCCCCTTCATGTACATGGGAAAAATCTTCCAACCTAGACAAATGATCAACTATTTGATTCTCAGTACCCTTTATATCTTTGATCTCAAGGTCAAATTCTTGGAGAAGAAATATACACTAAATCAACCTTGGTTTATCATCCTTTTTGTTGAATAATTACCTAACAGTTGCATGGTCAGTATAAACAATAACCTTGGTACCTATCAAATACGATCTGAACTTATCGAAGGCGAACACTAGAGCTAGCCTCTCCTTCTCAGTCACTGTGTAATTAGCTTGTGCAGAATCCAGGGTCCTACTTGCATAATAGATTGAATGGAACACTTTATCTTTCATTTTTCCCAATAGAGCACCCACTTCTATATTGCTTGCATCACACATGAGTTCAAACGGTAATTCCCAATTAGGAGCAATTAAGATGGGAGCTTCAATTAAGTTCCTCTTCAGCATCTCAAAAGCTTTCAAACGCATCTCATCAAATTCAAATCTCACCTCCTTCTCCAAAAGAATCCACATAGGTCTTGCAATCTTGGAAAAATCCTTGATGAATCTCCGATAAAAACCTGCATATCCAAGGAGACTTCGCACCCCTTTTTACAGAGATAGGAGGGGCAATTTTTCAGTGACTTCCACCTAGGCTTTATCTACCACTAATCACGATTTTGACACCTTATGACCAAATACTATACCCTCTCGAACTAAGAACTGGCACTTTTCCCAGTTCAGTACTAAATTTGTTTCTTCACATCTAGCAAGTACTTTATTAAGATTCTGGAGACATACCTCAAAAGACTTCCCAAAGACAGAGAAATCTTCCATGAACACCTCTACAATTTCCTCCACCATATCATGAAAAATGGCAATCATACACCATTGAAACATTGCTGGCGCATTGCAAAGTCCAACTGGCATGCGCTTAAAAGCATATGTACCATAAGGACATGTGAATGTGGTCTTTTCTTGATCCTCGGGCGCAATCAAAATATGATTATATACGAAATACCCATCTAAGAAACAATAGTACTCCTGCCCGTCTAGTCGGTCAAGTATCTGATAATTGAAGGGAACTGAGTAGTGATCTTTTCGTGTGGCCTCATTTAGCTTCTGGTAATCCATGCAAATTCTCCGTCTGGTTAGTGTTCTAGTGGGAATCAACTCATTTTTTCTCATTCTTTACCACTGTCATACCACCCTTCTTGGGAACACACTACTGCACAGGACTTACCACTTACTATCAGAAACTGGGTACACGATTCTAGCATCAACCACTTATTACTTCTTTTCTCACCACTTCTTTCATCAAAGGATTCAACCTAGGCTGAAATTGTGCACTCGATTTGTAATCCTCTTCCATATAGATTTTGTGAATACATAATGCCAGACTAATCCCATGAATATCAGCCATTTTCCATCCAATAGCTTTCTTCCTCTGCTTTAGGACTCTCAATGCCGCATCAACCTATATTTCAGACAATTCTGCAGAAAGTATTACGGGTAAAGTTTCATTAGTACCCAAATAGGCATACCTTAGGTGAGCAGGAAGATATTTCAATTCCAACTTAGGTGCTTCTTTTATTGAGGGTTTGGGTGGAGGATTGATGAGTCCACAAATTGGACTCATTTAGGGCTATATTTTAATAGAAATTGTGTCCTGAAATGCTTATTTTATCTAAATATCTGATGAGAACCCTTAAGTTTCATGTATTTGAAGATTGAAGGAGAGCATGGAAACTACTTCGCAAAAAGGAACAAAAAGGCTGAAAAGAACGAAGAAAATGAAGTCTTAAGGATCGCCAAGTCCACTTGCCGAGTCGCCGAAGGGTCTCACTTTGCCTTCTGTTCCATTGTGCTGAGCCCTGAAGGAAAGGTTCAAGTCAGTGGAAAAAGGGAGCAGTCGGCTCATCCCCGAGATGTTCCGCGAGGCAGTACTATGTTTCCCAATGACCCAAAGCACGACGATGTTGAAGGATGGTGCAATACGGCGAAGAACTACATCAAGGGGCGAATCGCCGAGTTGATCGGTGATTCCGACTAATGTCACCGAATGGTTCGCTGCAACACAGATTTCTTTAAAACTATAAATACTCGTAGAGAGTTTTAGCTTAGTATGAGATTTTTAGTATCATCAGATTTTTAGTGTGAAACAATTAATATATTTTAGTACTTTTTATTTTTTGTCTCTGAGTTGAGAGGGTTTTGAAACTTGAAGAAGAAGAAGAAGAGGGTTTCATCTCCAAGGATTTGGACTTGGGTCTCTTGGATTCTTCATTCTTGGTCTGTAACAAGACTTAAATCTTCATACCCATTTGAATGCAAGCTCATTTAGGTAAGAATTTCTATCTCTTAATGTGTGGCTAAAAACCCCAATTCTTGGGGTTTGATTTAACGAATATGGGTTAAGATTGTTGTTGGGTCTTGCTTGTTGATAGATTAAATGTAGTTTAATGGTGATTTCATCTAGTAGTTGTGGTTGAATTTAACAAATTTGTAGTTGCAAATAGAGGTTTATTTATGTGTTTTTGGCTTGCTCGAGAGAGATGTCGCGAAACCAAGACTACTAATTATGTGTTTTCAGCTCACTCAAGATCAAAAAGGTATTTTTAAGGCTTGTAATGGGGCTGAGTGCAAAGATATGGTCATATATGCTCAGTGACTTTCATCCTCATGAAATGTGGTGCTTACACCACTTCCTTTCCTTTTCCTTCATCATTCTCTTTAGTGTTCATAAGTCATCCTATTATTCACTTTCCATGGATTGTTTGAGAACCCCATTTCTTTTGTACCTTTATTTCACAACTTTCTTTTTCATTCTTTTTCTTTCTCTTTTTTAATTTATTTTTTATATGGAGGGGTTCCATTTTTCTGAAATCCATGGGTAAAAGGAGACTTTCCTTGCATTTCTTGACTTCTCCTTTTCTTTTCACCACACCCGCAACTTAGGCTTTTGGCCTAAGTTGGCTATTCAACTAACCACAATTCAAGAGGATTATAGGTAGTGGATAAAGAAAAGTTATGGTTTCATCGAGTTTCTTCCAAAGAAGGGTAAGGCTCAAGGGGCGTTCAATAGAGAATCACACGCTTACAGGGTAGGTCACAAAAGAGGTATATGTCAAATTGGCTCACACTCTTAGAAGTTACCTAAGATCATATCAAGAGATAGCATCACTTAGTTGACTGAACCAATGGGGAAAATTCTAGGATCTATCATGCATGGATCATAGTAAGTTCATCACACAAGGCATCGACTCTAAGGTCAAACAAGACTCCACACTTTTTCTAGTGTGCAACGGTCATAACAGGAGACTCGATTCGATAAATGACTAATCACAACGAGATGCAAAGAGTTCACATATTGTCTATGCATCTTCATTTGGCCTCATTGTAGCTACGCATTCATGATCATTCGATTGAGAGAACTATTCAAGTCATCGGTATTGATCGTAACCGAGACTTAAATTTTTGCAAAACAACAGCCACATTCAACACACGAGAGCTGGCAAAAATGTGCAAAAAATATATAAAAAATTGGAAGGGTCAAAATCGTTTTGCAATTTAAAATAAAAGGATCCATAAGCTCAAACATCCATAGAAAGCAGATAAATCACAATTTTAAAGCAGAACAACCCAAGTATAAACACAGAACATAACTATCAACACAATAGGTGTGGGCCTCACCCCACCACAACTAAAAGCAATTTGTCCTTAAATGCAATTAAAAGTTCCCAAAAACAAAAATAAGTAAGACAAATAGGGAGGTAAAGAAGTGATTCTGGCTATGCAGTTGCTCCATCTGTCAGGGCGGCATTGTTCTTCTGTGACTTTGGGTGTAGGCCTTCCACAATTTTAGCATTACAAAAAAGGCGAGGTGGGGACGTTAAGCGAGCCGTTGAGTGATTCAGCGAGCTTTACACAGCATCGCTAAACAACCTAACACGCCTATTTTCAACCCACTTTCTCGAATGTTTCACAACCACTCTGCTTCAACTGTACTAAAGCGCTATCCAATTCCTACGCACCCGGCGTTATCAATCTGAATCGGCGAGTCAGTTGGCGTGTCGCCGAACAATCACTTGTTTCACCGAGTTTTACAAAACTTCCCAGTAAACCTGGGAGTTCAAATAGCGGTCTCCATCGAGATCGCCAACAGAGTCGGCGATGCGCCAATATTTTCACAAGTTCGCCGAGTTTTACAAGCTCCAATTTTGGAGATGTTTGGAGTCAAACGGCGGATAAGGTTGAGTTCGCCGACCTTTTCGGTACTCGCCAATTCGATCTGTTGCTTGTCACCCTACATTTTTTTAGCACTTCTCACACTTCAACCTATACCAATAACACATCATTATTTTACCAATACGCAAATATAAAACTAATAAGGGGTTTTGGGTTGCCTCCCAAACAGCGCCTTAGTTAACGTCGCGGCATGACGCAAGTCAGCAATTACTATTCATTCTCGGAGTCAACCATGTTTTAGTTAGGTGAGTCCTCAGTGAATGGTGGGTAATGACCTGATATCAAATGACCGATTTGAGTGTCATGCAGCTGAATAGTCATGGAGTGAGAGGTTGACGTTCGTTTAGTAATACGATGTTCTCTTTCATCTCATTCAACATCTTCTCCTATGTCTCAATTTATTTTTGAATGAGTGAAAGAGCTCCATCATCTTGCACACCTCTCTGCTTCTTCCCATGTTTACACTCTCGGAAAGAAGGATGCTTTTCTTTTCCCATGGCTTGTATATCTAATTTCATGACTCGATTGGATAGAATATCCAACTGGGTGACTAGTGCGTCCCACTCTTGCTTCTATTTGGCTTCTTTACTAGCTTCTACCATGCCATCAAGGAGTTTTGCTACAACTTCATAGGGTTGGGGTAGCATACTGCGCTCGCATAGTTGATAGTTTATACCTCTATTCTCGGGTCCAACAGCCCTGTAGAAGCACTCCAGTAGTCCCTTGTCCGTCATCCCGTGAGACGGGCATGGTTGTAGCATCGCTTGAAACTTCAGCTACATTTCCAGAATTGTCTCATCACCTACCTATTTAAATGTCAGGAGGTTGTCCTTGAGGTTCAATAGTTTCAGAAGGGGATGATCCGTGTGATATCCATAATGATTTTCCATCCTTAATTCCCTGCTTCGATATTCAAACTAGCAAAACAAAACTACAATTTAGATTAGTCAAACTAAAACTAGGAAGAATAAAAAATTCTACTTAACTAAGAATTCCCAAATAACACCACTCCCCGGCAGCGGCGCCATTTTGATGTTTGCGTAATCAATGACACAACTTCCGATGCAAGTGTCTACGATTATACAATAGTATAATAACCCAACCAAGGGTTGGGGTCGAGTCCCAAGGGAGTGGTTTTGAAAATTAGTAGCAAAATAAAATTCAGTTCTAACTAGTCGTAGCTACAGACATTAACAATTAAAAACATTCCAAATTAAACGGGGGACACAAGAGTAACAATTAACAATGGGGGTTTTGTCACTAGTAAGTAAAAACAGCAAAATAAACCAAGGTTTCTAGGTAATGAGAGGGGATTCTTGGGATGTGACCGGAATACAGGTTAATTTAAATTATTGGGTACATGCTTTCGATAGGGAATTTTTAGAGTAATAGTGACTAGGCTAAGCTATACGTGGGAATAAATTCTCTCTCGAGCAACTTACCACGTTTCAAATGGGTTCCACCTGCCGCATGAAGACCAGCCTACGCCTTACCCCACTCACTCTCTTGAGCTGAGTGTTAGGATATGGGACTAGGGTTCACTCTCGCGAGCTGAACCATATGTCGACCCACTCCTTAGGCCATTAATCTAGTAGTCTTTGTTTCGTGACCTCTCTCTTGAGCAAGCCGAAAATACATAAATAAACTTATATTTGCAACTACAAATTTGTTAAATTCAACCACAACTACTAGATGAAATCACTATTAAACTACATCTAATCTATCAGCAAGCAATCCCAATAACAATGTTAACCCATATTCGCTAAATCACACCCCAAGAATTGGGGTTTTTAGCCACACATCAAAAGATAGAAATTTACACCTAAATGAGCTTGCATTCAAATGGGTATGAAGATTTAAGTCTTGTTACAGGCCAAGAATGAAGA